TAACCAAACTTATTTTTAACTTGTGCCTACCAGTAGGCGAATGAATAAAAGCGCTGAACGCTAGTAGTTGATTGAGTGTTCGCACCTGTTTCATCGGCTGACTTACCGCGTGTAATACGAGGCGTGTCCGGAAAGTAAGTACCGTTTCGTTTTACCGCCACCGCAGCGGTAGTATCGCAGTTCAGCACCTGTGCACACGTGTCTCTGGTTGATTGTCAGTCCAGTGACGCCATTAGAGCCAGATTGTGATGTTTTTCCATGTGTTAGTGAGCGTTCAAAATGTTTAAGACGATTGCCGATCCCGCCGACTGTGAAGTGCGTTCTGTAATACGGTTTTTGAACGCAAAGAATGTTAAGCCAGTTGAAATTCATCGTCAACTTGTAGAGATTTATGGTGAAAATGTAATGAGTGATGGAATTGTGAGAAAGTGGGTTCGACAATTCAATGCTGGATGCACCAATGTTCATGACGAAGCACGGAGTGGCCGGCCTTCTGTCGTCAATGAAGATTTGGTTGCAAAAGTGAATGAGAAAATTCTTGAAAACAGACGGTTCACAATAAGATTGCTTTGTGATGAGTTTCCACAAATTTCAAAAACTGTTTTGCATGAGATTGTCACAAATCAATGTTCAGCAGTGGCTGTCTTCACTGGCAGCATCTTTCTTTGAAGGGGATATAGACAAGTTGGTTTCCCGATATGACAAATGTCTGAAAAATGGTGGTAACTATGTAGAAAAATAGTTTTCAACATGCTCTTCCATGTAAAAATAAAGTTTGTTTTGAAAAAAGATTTTTTATGTGAGTTTTTTCAAAACGGTATTTACTTTCCGGAAACACCTCGTATTTCGGGTTTTCCTTACGTTTGTAACAACTAATACGAGCATGCAAGGTACTCTTGGGGGCACCTTTTTGGCTAATTGCCCATTTGTTGCCGTATCCCATCAACCAATCATTCCTTTTTTTATACCTCTGTATACCGGATATCTTAATTCTGCTATGTTTAAATTGGAGGTCGAATTTTGTATACAGACAGAATGGTATGCACACTGCTGTACGACGTTTTGTTTTGTAACTACAGCATGATATTCTTAAAATGGTAGTCTCTACATAAGCTCAAGGTTTTTTCCGGGTGGTATTCTTGCCACTGAATATTTTCGACAGGATTGGGTATCGTGCCATTATACAATAATTGTTTAGTATTATCTCAACATCGCTTTTAAATACCTGTAAGGGCTACAAAGTATCTCATTCATAAACAGCACATTCATTTCATCTAAGATTTTTTAGACCTGATGATGGCCTGTTAATCAGGTTGAAAACGTTTGTTTTTTCAAATATATTTCTCGGCAACAAATTAAGGTGTTTTATTTTCTGTGTGATCTAAGATCCTTCGAGTTTTTCCCTGAAAATTTATGAAATTTGAAGTATACTGTAGAAGAATTAGAGTTCTAGTTGAAGCTCTACATTTTATTCTCGCAGCTGTTTAAAAACACCTGAAATTTTTTATTGTTGAAGCGCAGTTGATTGCTTTGAGCTCTGTAGATACATTTGTGGTTGTCACATAGAAACTAATAATTAAATTAGACTTATGCAACATATAGCATTTAAATATAAATATGTTTTCATGTCTGAAAAGTGTTTCTATTATTACAAAATAAATTTGGAACAACCTAAATGATATTCTCATAGTAAACTTTCTCAAAGAAAATAACAATGATGATAAATACAAATGCGAATAAAAAGTAAAATCTTTGTCAGGTCAGACTCAACTTGACACGTGACACATGACTCCTTTCTATCTTCCCACCCCTCGAACTTTAACTATGAAAATTTAATAACGTCAATCCTCCTAATACACAAAGTTTTCTGAAAGTATTTTGAAAATTTCGACAGAACACACAGGAGTTATTTAGTTTAAAACCGGATGAATAAAATCGTGCCACTCTCATTACACTCACACAAACAACATCTTTCTATATAGAAGAAATCCCAATTTCTTTTTTTTCAATTTCTAGACTTTTCAATACCCTTTAAGTTCAAAACTGCAGAAAATTACTTGGGAGGTAATTTTTTTTGACCGATTGCCTTACTATCCCACGTTTATACCGTATATAACAGCCGGGAAAGTAGATATGAAAACATAAAACTGTTTCTTTATACGTTGTTACAACGTAAGTATTTCACAGCTTTGTTTTGGTAGAAAATTAAGTGTAAGAAACCTATTAATGCTATTTTAGATTACTTTACTTCACTCGGATTGTGTGTGTTTGGTAGAATAATTTACCTGTAGTAGGGAAACTAAACAATAAATTACGTACTTAGTGTTTACATTATCAGTTGCCATTAACAATAACAAACAATTTTTTTTATATATACTAAAAAGCTAAACCGACATTCCTATAAATTTCCTAAAAACTTGGGTAAATTTTAGGTGATAAAGTTACGTCAACTTTTTAGAAATCCAATCAAATTTCCCGATAAAACGACGAAAAATTGTTAAGAATCGGGTTATTGTATCGTGTTAAAGGCTGTTTACGAAACATTAAATTTGTAAGTTTCACTTTGCCAATGTCGCTGGAAGTAAAGGATACGTTTGGAAATACTTGCTTTTGTATTAAGTATATTGTTAAGTAATTATACTATTATAACTATGGTAAACATTTGATCTATTAAAAATTAGGAACTGAACATAATTTTTAATACTAATGATTTTATTTCTATAATGGGTTTCTAAAATACAGATATAACGTTGGTAATTTTTCTACTAAAATTGAAAACGTAGTGAGGAATATAACTACGATATAACTATGTATATAATAAGAAAAATGCTACNTTTTTATCGTGACGTGGGAATTGCAAAAATGACACGCGCCTGTTTCGATGAAAATGACCAAAAATGTTTTGTTTGTTACTTATAGAAGCCATGTTGTGGTAGCTCATACTTGTATATTGTTGTCATTTGCGTATTTTAGTATATAATGGCATTTCTACGTGATTGGTTCCAAAATAAATAAACGCAAATTTTTGTTTACACTTAAGCAGACAAAATGGCGTGGCCAAGTAGTGCTAGGCAACAGAAAATCTATACTTATCAGGAAAAATAACCAATTTGATAAAAACTTATTTGTTTAGAATAATTAAATTTTTAATTAGTATTAAAACGGTTAAAGGTTTAAAATCCTGAAACTAACGAAACTTATTTTTAACTTGTGCCTACCAGTAGGCGAATGAATAAAAGCGCTGAACGCTAGTAGTTGATTGGGTGTTCGCACCTGTTTCACCGGCTGACTTAAGGTGTGTATTATTTCGGGTTTTCCTTACGTTTGTAACAACTAATACGAGCTAGTTTTCCATGCAGGGTACTCTTGTGGGCATCTTCTTAGCTAATTGCCCATATGTTGCCGTATCCCATCAACCAATCATTCCTTTTTAAACCTCTGTATACAGGATGTCTTAATTCTGCTATGTTTAAATTGCAGGTCGAATTTTGTATACAGGCAGAATGATATGCACACTGTTGTACGACGTTTTGTTTTGTAACTACAGCATGATATTCTTAAAATGGTAGTCTCGACATGAGTTCAAAGTTTTTTCCGGGTTGTATTCTTGCCATGAATGTTTTCGACAGGATTGGGTATCGTGCCATTATACAACAATTCTTTACTATTATCTGAACATCGCTGTTTAAATACTTGTAAGGGCTACAAAATATCTCATTCATAAACAGCACATTCATTTGATTGAGATCCTTCGAGTTTTTCCCTGAAAATTTATGAAATTTAAAGTATACTGTAGAAGAATTAGAGTTCTAGTTGAAGTTCTACATTTTATTCTCGCAGCTGTTTAAAAACAGCTGAAATTTTTTATTGTTGAAGCGCAGTTGATTGCTTTGAGATCTGTAGATACATTTGTGGTTGTCACATAGAAACTAATAATTAAATCAGACTTATGTAACGTACAGCATTTAAATATAAATGTTTTTATGTCTGAAAAGTGTTTCTATTATTGCAAAATAAATTTGGAACAACCTGAATGATATTCTCATATTAAACTTTCTCAAAGAAAATAATAATAATGATAAATACAAATGCTAATAAGGAGTAAAATCTTTGTCAGGTCATACTCAACTCGACACGTGACACATGACTCCTTTCTATCTTCCCACCCCTCGACCTCTAACAATGAAAATTTAATAACGTCAATCCTCCTAATACACAAAGTTTCCTGCAAAAATTTTGAAAATTTCGACAAAACACACAGGAGTTATTTAGTTTCAAACCGGATGAATAAAATCGTGCCACTCTCATTACACTCACACAAACAACATCTCTCTATATAGAAGAAATCCCAATTTTTTTCAATTTCTAGACCTTTCAATACCCTTTGAGTCCAAAAATGCAGAAAATTACTTGGGAGGTAATTTTTTTTTGACCTATTGCCTTACTATCCCACTTTTATACTGTATATAACAGCCGGGAAAGTAGATATGAAAACATAAAACTGTTTCTTTATACGTTGTTACAACGTAAGTGTTTCACAGCTTTGTTTTGATAGAAAATTAAGTGTAAGAAACCTATTAATGCTATTGTAGATTACTTTACTTCACTCGGATTGTGTGTGTTTGGTAGAATAATTTACCTGTAGTAGCGAAACTAAACAATAAATTACGTACTTAGTGTTTACATTATCAGTTGCCATTAACAATAACAAACAATTTTTTTATATATATATTAAAAAGCTAAACCGACATTCCTATAAATTTCCTAAAAACTTGGGTAAATTTTAGCGTGATAAAGCTACGTCAACTTTTTAGAAAGCCAATCAAATTTCCCCATAAAACGACAAAAAATTGTTAAGAATCGGGTTATTGTATCGTGTATCGGGTTATTGTATATTGTTAAGTAATTATACTATTATAACTATGGTAAACATTTGATCTATTAAAAATTATGGACTAAACATCATTTTTAATACTAATGATTTTATTTCCATAGTGGGTTTCTAAAATACAAATATAACGTGGGTAATTTTCCTACTAAAATTGAAACGGTAGTGAGGAATATAACTACGTTATAACTATATATACAATAAGAAAAATGCTACAAAATAATTAACACGTGCCTATAAGTTATTACGTATCTCCAAATAATATTTAGTAGTCGTCGAATTTTGAAAAATTAATCAAGGATTACTTTTATGAACAAAACTTTCAACATTTCGTCATTCTATAATCAAGGTTTTGGTTACATAATATTGTCGATTATTCAGACATCGACCGTAAGAAATATTTTAAGTTAATGTTAAGCAGAAGTAGTATTAATTCTAAGAATTTCAATCGATATTCGCGGCCATACAATAATAATATAGATGAAATGACATATGTATATCTTTGGCTTGATGTAAAGACAAACGGAATTTTCATAGGTATACAATGTTTTTTGATTTCACTTCTTTGATTTTTGTCACGAGTACGCAGGGAATAAAAGTTACGATTTACTTGTAATTTTTATCTACAGTATTCATCCATATTAAATATTAATGAATTATAATGACCACATTTTTCGACTGTGTAAACACGACATATTTCGTACTACATATATACGAAGATAGTTCATGCAGATCGTATGTATGACCATAGTTCATCGTATGTGTTATTAAATGCAGTTGTTGATTGACACGTACTCTCTTTGGTGAGATCTCTCAATTTCAGTAGAGTAGTGAAAACGGAATACAGAGCGTCCACTATCTGAAAGTTATAATAAGACGTTAAAAGGATAAAAATTAGTATAAAAGTATTAAAAATTCGTACAACGATAATTAGCTTACTTTAATAGGTAAATTTTTCTTAAAAAAGAAAAACCCTCCCACCGAAATTCCAAGAGGCATTCCGCTAAATCTCTTCGTGAAATTCAAAATCTATAAAAAAAAAGTGTTTCAGTAAATATTTTAATACATAATTAAGAACACTTAATATTAATTAATATATACCTTTAATTTGTATGTTAAGCTTAGTTCGTAGGACGAAATTTTGTGAATGCTGATAAAGTTGCTGTATATCTGGAAAAGTATTAAATAAAATATAGCATTATAAATTTATGGTTATTTTATCAAATACCATAATATTGATTTTTCAGAGCAAAACTTTTTAAATTGTGTGGAAAATTTTGCGATAGTACAAAACCAGGCATTGATCATCACAAAGTGTTCGCAAAGAATCATCGATATCTCTGGTCAGAAGCGAATCGTTCTTATAGTTGAAAGGACAAGAGTTGATATGTGTAGTTTTATTTCAGTATTTTAAAATTTATATATTGGACCTTACCCAAAGGGCTACACTGTCTTGTACATATTCTATGTTCTTTTATCATTTAGTGCAATGCGCGAAGTGAATGGGACCCACCTTTACTCTATCTTCAACCCTTTCTCCCTCCCACTCCCTCTCCCTTCTCTACACCACTCCATACCTTCCTTCCTCTTGTGGCTAAGTCTACGGACAGCCCTCTACCATTATTCCAGTATTTTAAAATATAATCATTATATATCATATAACATCTTGTGTCTAAATGATGATACATATGATGATACGGTAACTAAGATACATCGTTATTATTTAATAAACAGATAAAGAAAGTTTTTAATACTTGCATGTTTGGCATTTGGTCTCGAATGGTGTTATTAACGGTGACAAAATTCATAACAATTGGTCGAACAATGTTTAAAGTAATCGGAAAATATAAGTGGGTTAACTGAATTTTAAGCCACAACGACAATTTGTATTNAGACTATCGCAGTTGACGTAAAGAATTTTTAATGAAAAACTATAAACTTAGTGCATTGAATAGTACTCTGTATCTGTTTTCATATTGTAATTTTAATGACTAAAAATCTAGCATAACGTAGAGAGTTTTTCTTACAAACTAGGACCCGAAATCACGAAACTGTCGTTAATAACAACGCATTATTTCGCTACGTTGGTAATTACGACAAATTTACGGCATATCGTATCTGCAATTGACTATGCTCATCGTAATGGGATTTACTATTTACCACGAAACATCGGTGATCTATTTCGAAAGTATACCGTTTCGTCCAATAAGAAATGCGTTAACTAACGACGACCGTTCGTCGTTAGTTGCAATACCACGCNTTTTAAGCCACAACGACAATTTGTATTAGCGATTTTTACAGTCGCTCTACTATCGCTTTAAAAAACAGCATAAATTTAAAATATAGAACAGACTGCTACTTCGGTGTTTATACTGTAATGTTAGAGAATTAACGTCTAGCAAAATATAAAAAGCTTCTAACCTACTGAACTGTTAAATGAGAAAGCAGATAATTTACATAAAATTAAATGAAAACAATCGTTTTACTTAAGAAATTAATGCGTTATACTTACCGAAGAAGTTGTTTTTGAAATTATTAACGAGCCTATCAGACAAATTAAAGAGTAAATAGCAAATGTCAAACCAAATTGAAATTTCGAGTGTAACAAATAATGTTCTTTTTCGTGGTTAAAAAGGAACATGTAAAGCAGTAAGCACGTTATGTGGATGAGAAGGAAGTAGAGAACTGCCGTCAAATTGCTCCATTGTCGATTGATTTCTTGAAATAGTTCCCATAAATCTGTGTGTCTTTCTATAACGTCATCCACGTTGGTCTTCAAGCGATCGGTGTGTCTCTCCAGCGAATCTAACTCGATCTGTAAATTCTGGAATTGATTCGACGTGAATGAAAATATAATAAAAACTAAGGCTAGTAAAATGCCACTTTGTCCGGTAAAAAACAAATGCCATTGAAAATAAAACGTGCTGCACACGATTGAAACTAGAGAAGAATTACTCGAATTTCGAATTGTTGGATAATATTTTAAATCTAAACCAAGATTCATTGCCATATTCGAAGAAAAGTAGAAAAAAATAAAAAATATTGATACGAACTGTACTCTTTTAGGAAAAAAATAAAAATAAATACGAACTGTACTCTTTTAGGAAAGTATATATCACTTCTATATGCGACCTTATTGTCTTCTCATTTGAATTTATTTCTTTTCATTATACTAAATGTAATAGCATAAACCGATGACATCATTACTCGATATACTCTTTGAAAGTATTTGTTTGTATCATGGTTTTTGAATAAAGTTCCACATAGAGCTTCGTCGTGAAAAAACAAGGCTCAAGTATGACCTACCATCATCCAGAAAATAAGTTCTACAAAGTTTACGTAATAAGCAAAGCATTTTGTTTTATTTTTCTCGTGGCAAGCGCAAAGTAAAAACGGTTCCAGTCCAAATATTTTAGCAACCGAAATTATGGGATTGAGTTGACAGTGAATATTATTGGAAATATTGCTGTTGCCAGTGCAATCCACAATCTCTACAATTGTGTTTTTGTTGTCCATTTTACGACATTAAATGAAAGATTGGATACATATAGAATATAGTATATGGTATAGTATATATACAGCAGTACAGTTTAAAATTTAGCTTGTTCTTACTCGTAAACACAGCTTAAAATTTAGAACGATGTATGCGGGAGCACGTTACGTAAATTACTGCCTCAACCTAATAAAACAATTTTCATTAAATATTAATATAAGCCTAATTACGAAAACGTTTTCCGATTAGATAATAAGACATTTAATAAATTTACATATTTTATAGTTGTTTCTCGCATAGATTACGTTGCTAATATTTAAATAAGCACTATACGAAGATATTTTTCAAAAGTTTATTATCATAATGCATTAGAAAGTAGAATATTAATTGCTATTTTGAGAAAATTGTGAATAATTATTTAAATTAGTTATGATATAATAGATGATACTCCGCATTTTTAACATTAAATATAAATTTTAATTAATTTAGTCGGTACACGTAGCATTAACTTGATGTCAAGGTATATTACAATTTATGGTTTGCATCATTACTTTCTTTGTAATTTTTGAAATAGTTTTCTGGTTAAGTGCTTTATATTAATATAAAATGTAAGTTATCTGAATGAATTTAAATACACAAATTTTAAAATTTTCAGTTACGATTATTGAAAAATGTATTTAGAAATAGCAAAACGTGAAAATCGTGTGAACTAAACGTGCCAAGTTTTATTCATTGACTCGCGTGAAATACTCGTTTACGATTATATAAACTGTATTTAGGAGATATCAAGTAGTTTAAAGTACTGTATATTAAATTGTATACAGTAGAAAAATAAAGAATTCTTAAAATGTGTTCGATTGGTCACTCGGTGTGATAAACCCTTACCTAAGATAACCTTTGTAGTTATATAATCAAATACTATTAATATAATATAACGAACATTAAAACGAAAACCATATTAAGAATTTGGTTATTTCAGCTTCTCATTGTCACGTTTATTCGGATGGTACAAAACGGCACAATTTCATTGGTCAAGTAAACACCAATTGAAAATACATGTTCAGTTTTTCAGATATCACATTTTTTCGCTAATGTTAACTCTAAGAAACTGTACCATTCACAGCCGAATATCAAATTTCGAGAAAAACTGATCAAATAACGAAACTCGACACCTCGGAAAACCACTTAAAATGTTGACCGGTAACCTCGTATTACGTAATTTTCCTATTCGAATGCCACCGTACCGCTGCACAGTGGGTGGTGAGACGATTCTAGCAGGACTTAAGTATGTAGACTAGTGAAATACATTTTTATAATAAAAATTTTTTACTTCCATATCGTATCAAGTAAATATTTACATACGAAATCACATTCGAAGTTTGACTCGGAGTCATCTTGTACTGCGGTCACGCTTGGTGCTTTTAGTAATTTTAAAACGTAGCGGTTAACGGCGTTTTCTTCTTCGTACCAAATGATCTAAGGTTCGTAATGACAGGATCCACAGAAATTTAAGAATTATGGGTAATGTAAGATATCTATATTAGTGTTTATTCTAGAAGTTTTTTGGGAATAACTCTCACGAAATTTTAAAAATTTTTTGTGTCTAGTTCTTGTACTTCTTCGGACAATCGTGCTATAGGAACGAGAAACAAAGATATAATTTTTGATCCGTGTGTCGAAACTTTGCGAAGAGTGACTTGCATGGGATACCAATGATAAAGCGTCGCATATAACTCCGCTGTTTTCTTCGTGTAGATTTCGAATTTGCACGTAGCCGGATGCCAGTGCTTGTAATATAACTGAAAATCGTTCTATTAGGTTCTTGTTAATATATAAATAAAGATTGTAACTAAAAGCTATAAGTAATTACTGTGTCATAGGTCTGAAAGAATAAAAATTTCGATCATCGAATTTCTTTTCAAATAAAATACTTTCATATTAAATATTTTTACATAAGTGTAATATATTTTTAATTATCCGTGTAGTTGGTTTTTATGCATATTCATAACAAGGCTAGAGTATAATGAACAGCTGTCATGTATCGACNCGTTGTCGTTTTCTATTGCCACTATGACTTTTTTCTTTCTTGGATTATTGATTAAATATATAAATCACAAAACTGAAAAAAGAAGTACAGCACAAACACTCGGAAAAGCAATGCTTAACTCGCGCATGCCTAACACCAACTAAAATTTGACACAAAATACAGTTACGTTCGTTATCCGAATTTTGTTCGTTATCCGAGACAAAATTTTTGCAAAATAAAAGTTCGTTAACCGATTTGGTCGTTAACCAGGACGTTCGTTAACCGGGGTTCCACTGTACAACAGGATAACGCGTCATTTCGTCTAATATCCATAAATAGGTAAACACTAACCGAAAACAACTAGAAGTAAATTTTAAAGTAATTTTGACTTATTAATCGTTTAAAAATATTAAAAATAAAGAAATATTAAAGCGTCCGACAGACGACAGCAGTATTATTATACCAAGATGACCTTAAAATATAGTCTAGTAGCTGTTACCCGCGAGTTCGTTCGCGAGGATTTTGCAAGCAAACCCCATTTATATTCAGTATTTCAACAACCATTGTAATTGTTATATAACACCTCCCGCGAGAATGATGAGAAATGCTGAGAATCAAACGAACTATTTTCAATTTGATCAATTTTCTGGAACGTTTACAATAGTTCTATAATCGAACCAATACGCAATAACAAATTCGAATTTAAAACGGTTCAACATTTTTAAAATCGAAATAGATAAAAATATTTATAACAATGTCTGAAATGTTATTAATTTAATACACCTAAGTACTCGATGAAGACTAAAACCTCTCCCCCTCGGGGGAATTTCTAAAATCCCTTCTTAGTGTGCATTCTCATGGCATACCCTACTACAACGCAGATAAAAACAAAAAATCGCGTCTAAAATAGTACAGTAGAAGCCGTTCTTTCGGTTAAGCCTTAATGCTCTCTCTTTTCCCCCGCGGGGGAATTTCGAAAAATCCCTTCTTAGTGTGAGTTCTCGTG